GAGACACTGGGAGAGGTGGGAAACCAACGTATGATCTAGCTGTGTTAAAATAAACAGCTTGAATGGGATTGCAGCAGGGGAAATGAAGGCAAATCTCTAGGATGCCTCTGTTCACAAAGCTGCCTGAATTTCTCTGTTCTTGTCCCTTCAGAGTCACTGGGAAATACAATGATGAACAAATGTGCACGAGGCCTGCAATCACAATGTTAGGATTTCTCTGGCACGAAGCAGTGCTTCCCAAACTGTGATTCCTTTCCAAACACACAACACTTCTCTTTTAGGTTCACTGCCCTCCTCGGTGCTGTTTCTTTGGATGGAGAATGACAGCTCTGGAGCCTCCAGTAAGAACAAGTCACCCATAATCATTATTAATTTCTCTTCGGACTCTATTCAGTTCGATTGAGCCAGATGAATGACAGTAACAGATCCTGCAAATACAGCCTTTGATATTTGGAGGCCATTCAGAGTCCTAGTGAAACAGAGAGTGGGCAGAAGGAAAAGGAGGATGAAGAATCAGCTTAATATCACAGAATCACAGAATCTTAGGGGTTGGAAGGGACCTTGTTCCAACCGCCCTGCCAGAGCAGGATCACTCAGAGCACATCACACAGGAACGTGTCCAGGTGGGGTTTGAATGTCTCCAGAGAAGAAGACTCCACAGCCTCCCTGGGCAGCCTGTTCCAGTGCTCTGTCACTCTCACAGGAAATAAGATTTTTCTGATGTTTACATGGAACCTCCTGTGTTCCAGTTTGCACCCATTGCCCCTTGTCCTATCACTGGACATCATTGCAAAAAGCCTGGCTCCATCTTCCTGATACTCACCCTTAACTCCCCAGGATGCCATTGGCCTTCTTGGCTACAAGGGCACATTGCTGGCTCATGGTCATCCTCCTGTCCACCAGGAGCCCCAGGTCCCTTTCTTCTACATATATATATATGCCCTCCTGAGGCTCACTAAGATCCCAGATAAGCCAATGCTTTGTCCAACACTTGCTCTTTTCTTTTAACTTCCCAGTAAAGACTTAAGACTAGTCAGTCCTGGAGCTAAGATCATTAGGAACATTTATCACTAAGAATGGCACTTGGTCCAAGATGGGTGATGGCAGCAGGCCACTGAAGTCCCACCAAAAGCTGATAGACAAATATTCTAATGAACTGTTGCTCTCCTGACACTGCTGATAGCATCATGAAGGGTGTGACATATTTTGAGGGCTTATAATTGTCTGCACACATTCCACAGAACAACTAAACAATTTTTTGAGGGAGATATGCTCCAGCCACAAATGTTTTGAAGGTTTCCTGAGAATCTCTCGTGAACGACTGCCAGTGCAAGTCTAGAACTGGGCAACAAATCAACAGAGCTGTATTTGTTCCAGCACTTAAAATGACTTTTATTGCAATAATTCTGGTATTAAATATTCCCTTTATTCTCTTCCAGAAGTTTTATTCTGTTGCTAATTTGCCTTCGAGCACCAGTTTGTGCAGTTTGTGTCGTCCATATGGAGTGAGACCACATTTGTTATATCCAGCATTGTAGTATTGAGGCTGAATTTATTCTTTGCACAATGAGGATGTTTGGTTAGGAGATGCTGGCCAACATAACGACAAGTATGCATAGAGGCCTGACATCAGAGAGTCAAAGTTGGCTCCTCTCCTTCCCTTTTCTCATTATGCTTGAAGTTTCCCCTTTCCATAGCCTATGCTAAGCTTCCCACTGTACAGCTTCAGGACTTCCTAGTGTCATGACATGCTAGACCCATGGCTGAAGCTGAGTTAGGGGCTTAGGCTGTAATACCCCCAAGAACAGAAATTGCTGCACTGGCAGGATCTGCACCCAACACCCTGTAATTCAGGCTGGTTGGGTGTGAAGAGCATGACCAGGTGAAAACTCCTCAGTTCAAACTTCTTGCTTTAATCCAAAATGTCAATAATAAGAAAAGTTCAACATATTTGGTAGCGTTGTAGCTAAATACAGTTCTTCCTCTCTCTCTTTTCACCATAGATACCTCCCTCCCACAGTGTCTCTGAAGACAGCAGTAGGGATGACACCTAAGTCAGCTGAAGATGGCACTCTCATTATTCAGTGTCCTCCTCATTCCTTTTGGAAAACCATTATCCATCCTCAATGCTGCTCACAAACAAAGGGAAACCAACTGAATAAAAATCTTGCTTTGAACAGCTCTGCAAAGAGTTGCTTTTTTTTCACCTCTGAAAGTTAGACCTGTCTGGTTCTTATCTCCAATCATACAGGGACACAAAATGTAACATTTCCATAAAATGTCACATTTACCTAATAAGAACCCCTCACTATTCACAGAAGAGTGAATTGTAAGAATGGCTACTGGTAGGATAAGGATTTTTAGAGTTTCAAGTTGAAGACTGAAAAAGGAAGAGAGGGAAAAAGGGAGAAAAGAAGATTGTAACTGAAGATGCTGCATTATTTCCACACGAGAATATGGAGTATCTGAAGGAACCAAGAAACCAAATTGCTTAAGTACCTTGAGAGCTGAGGGTACAAAATACGAGGCAGGTGAGCATTCTGAATGCATCAAGACAAGGCAAGTAAAGACATTATGTGGGCATAGCTGATTTAATAGTGATGGGAATGGGGATATTTGAAATTTCTAAATACAATACCAAGTCATGCTCCTGAGAGGTCCATTCACCAGCGTTGTATCCTGTGCTGTTCTTGGCATGAAGAACCATGTTCTAAAGAGCAAAGTAACCTCCTATCTGACACACAAAAGTGGCTTTTATGCAGACTGTGATTCTTTTGTACTACACGTTTCTCCCCATTAAGTTTCCCTCCAAATGCAGAGCTCAACACACCCCACAGCAGTAAGTCCTGAATGGATCATTTTCCATGGAGCTTAGCCTTCCGTTGCTCCCACCGTACCAAGCTCCGGAATTAGATGGGCTGGGTTTAGCAAGTGGATTTCCTACAGACGTGCTGCTGAATGCACAGAGGCACAATGATATCAGTGTAACTTCAGTGGAGAGAGGCTTTCTTTTTGTTCAGCTTCCTGTTCCTGCCTACAGCTCTTAGGAATTACCCTAATACGATAATCAGTTACATTATTTAACATTTCCCAGAATACATTTCTGAGAATCATCCATATTTTATGCAAGACTCTGTTAGGATTAAGAACAAATCTAGAAAAAGCCTATGGAATGACTGGTAATGCACTGGTCCTGTAGCTCCCAGAGACCCCTGACAGGTAAAAGAATCTATTTTACTAAATGTTCTATAAAAGCAGAGCAAAAGGAGGCCCTCACTTGACTGCCTTCCATGGTAAAATGTAGTAACAGCCTTGAACTACTGTTTCAAGTTAACTTCCACAACTCCAGGTAAGTAAGTGTGCGTGGTACTAGTTTATCAATGATGCCAACTATCTTTGTGACAGGCAGAAAATCAGGGAGTTTTTATCATTATTCTGCCCGTAACAAGTATCAGAATTACACAAAAAACAAATGCCTATGGGTCTGCAGAGGGTGGGACTCAGGTAAAGGTCAAATTCTCTTTCTTGACATTGGACAGAACTTCTGAAATGGGCAGAAGTTGGGATAACCAGCTATGTCAGTGCTGGCTGAGGTCAGGCAAAGGCAAAGCCCACTTAATATGTGGCACCCTCCATCTGCAGAAGTAGTTATTGCTGGAGTACAATAACCAAAGGATGTTCTTCCTAGAGCAGCTCATCCCAGCTTGTCTTCACCTTTACACTTTTGGTTTTAGACTCAATGAGACTCAAAGCTTAACCCTACTTTTGCTTTAGCCTCCAAGAGCTGAGCATTATGTTAGTAAAGCTCAAGAAGGGGGAGATGCCTTCTCACCGCACCACCACATACTATTAAGAGATAATCTTATTAGTCCCAAGTGGATTAAAACTAAGTTACTGTAAGATTTTTTAACCATTTTTAATGTACAAAGTAAACTGACTCCTAACGAAACGATTAATCTTGAGTTGAAATAAAATTAATTTGGCTCAGGGTGGATAATCACTGGTAAACAATGTGCAGTTTCTGTACAAAATTCCAAAGGTTTCTACCACTGTTACGGATTTGTTCCAGGAGCTCAGTGCTGGAGCACAGAAGCTGCATCAGATCTTGTAGTAGTACAAAACATGAATGGCAGACAGGGAGAAGATAATGAAACATATCCTTCATATAGTAACACCAGAGAGTATCTGGCTGGAATAAAAATGCTCAGCACAAATAAAACTTCGTAGCTTTACTGTCTTTTTGGTAAAACATAAATACTGTATTGAAACAAATCACAGAACATTCCGTGGCAGCCACATCATCTACCATATTTTGTAACACAAAAGATGAAGAGATCATCTTTCCCGTCTGTCTGGATTCAAATTAATTCTGTTTGATGAATAATTTTTGGAACATCAGCATGCCAATGGTAATATGAATGATTATAACTTTCAGATGTTTTTAATTTGCAGTCGGGGATAAAAACACACAAACCCATTTCAATGTTTTTTACATGCAGATAATAAATGTGCTGCTTCTACTGATTATCACATTGATTTAGGGTAGAGGTGTTCATGTATCATTACATAATTTTATTTAATGTTTGTTATGTCAATGGGTAAGATGTCTTATTCCATTAATACGTTACATCTGACTGCAGGCCAGAGTGGATTTGATAAAAAATACAATGTTCTGCCTAATGCACTGTTAGTAATGGCTCAGTTTCCCTATTTCCCCTTAGAATTTGAACACAAAGATCAGTCTACATTTCTTTGTAGCATGCAGGCAGCTGAAACACACACATTTGCATAAGTTGCAACACTTAGTGAATGGCAAAAGCCATGCAAACCACCGAGCATGAGGAATACACTGTGGATAATGGAGAGGAAAAACAGAAGAGATGAAAGGGGAAAATAAACCATGCATCCATGAAAGGAATGGTAGGCACTGGTGGAGGAATAAGTGAGCACCTCAAGGTGTAGAGAAAAAAAGGACAGATACCTACCCCAACCTGTGCTATCTAGCTACCGACCTGTGGACTTATAGTATCACCAGTTGGCTCACCAAATGGATCACTGTTGGATGAGGCCTGAGACCCATCAGGCTAGAATACAAGAACATAACACCTTTTTTTCTCAACCATAAGAAAGTGAAAAGTCAACACGAGGTTATTTTCATGCTGTGGGCATAACATCCTATCTCATGAAAACCGGGAAGTGAGACCTCACCGCTGATCTCTTCTCAAAAACCATAATGGTTTCCTGTAGCTGGTGCAGGCAGGAAAGGACCACACCAGTACCTGCTGGAGCCCAGCCAGGAGCTGCCACAGACTTCAGAAGGTACCAGATCCAACAAACCAGAACTGCAAAAGGCCCTGGAAGCCAGTGAGTCTATGTGAATCAGAAGGAGTCCAAGCTTGTGTGATTTTGTACCTTCAGGTCCTTTTTTTGTACAGACTTCCTCTTGCCTTGGGCTCACTTAGGCTCTTATCTGCCTAAGACACCTTGTGATTTACAGTCATTGGATGACATTTCTTGCTTTGGTTCACTGAGTCTAAGGCAAAGAAATCACATACTGAGGGCCAGAACATTGAGGAATGCAACTAGGCAAGCAACTGGGATGCAAGAATGTGCAAGACAACAACAACCATCATCTTTTTAACACACAAACTCTCACATCTCTCTCTGCAGCCTCAGCATGTATCTTGTTTTACCTCGGACTCCCTCACCATTAACAACTGAATGCTGGTATGTTAAGGACGTTGGATACAACTACCATATATATATGCATGTATGTAAGCTGGCACTTGAACTCTGAGTTTGGTTCCTTGTATGCAGTATTAGTGCTTATCAACATGTCATGCTTTTAGCTATCAACACCAAGCTGGGAAGCAAATGCTGTCTGCAGCTCTCCCTTAAACACCAACCAGCCCCAGTAGAGTAGTTATTTCTGGCACTACTGAACAACATTTAAGTAGCTTGTCTTTTCTAGCTAAAAAGAGCTGATTAGGATTCATAAACCTCGATGCTACTCACAGCCTCTTGCTCCTCACTTTTGCTTGGGCTTTCAAACCCCTCTTCAAAGAGGTCATCTGCAGCAGGATCACTGGTATGAGATGCTGATGATTTTGATGGAGAACTCTGTCTGGGTGCAGGGGTTGGAGCTAAAGAAAGACCAAGGTAACAGCAAAAAAACACGTCTGTTAATTCGCTCAGAAAGACAGAGCACCACAAAATCTGCTCATGCTTTAGAGCCCTAAAATTTTATTACTCCTGAAAATAATTTTCTGATGAGGAGCTGTAAGAAGTAAATTTGAGTTACAGAAGTCATTATCTGTTCCATATATTTGATTTCATTGAGTTGTTTCCAAATTAAGCTTGGCTGTATCTGTCAGAGAAGCACCACGACATTACATTAAGAATGCATGAACTGCCTGCACTGTGCAAGCAAAACAGAAGGTCTCCAACTGGCCCCTGGTAGATCTGTGTCTCATTAATCCCTCCTTTCTGCAACCTGCAAAATGCCCCATCCCCAGGCTATGAACACGAGCATCTTATCTTACACCTCTTCCGTGAACTCCCTCACGTACCCAATACATCAAGCCATTAAAATACATATCCATAACCTCATTTCTACAAAGTATGGCTTGAATCACAGAATCTCAGGGGTTGGAAAGGACCTCAAAAGACCATCTAGTCCAACCCTCCTGCCAGAGCAGGATCACCCAGAGCACATCACACAGGAACTTGTCCAGGCAGGTTTTGAATGTCTCCAGTGAAGGAGACTCCACAACCTCTCTGGGCAGCCTGTTCCAGTGCTCTGTCATGGCACATAAGTGAAACCATTTCTAAGGCTGAAAGCCACGGGCACTTTCCAACCAACTTGTAGGTCCCTAGCACAGAACATCTATTATTACTGTCTTCTCAGAAACTGAATTTCAGACTGCAGCTATTGGGGCTGTTGATCTCATCGGTCTCTGGAATTCCTCTCTGATACTTTTCTTTATGGCTGCAATAACATTTGATAACCTACAACATGCATGAAGGTTCCCAGCCCATATATCTGTGTTGCAATTTACTTTCTGAAAAAACAAAGGAAGGAATGCTTTGAGGGACAGCCACGTTGAGGAAAGGTATGGATGAAAGCACATGGATACTCACGTGAATTTGTAGATGGTGTCGTGGAAGTCACAGGAGTCAAATTTAACTGAGAGATGTCAAAGTCATCACAATCATCTGCTTCCTGTGCCATCCCAACTTTGTTAAAGTAACTTGAGAAGGCCTCTGAGGTACAACTGAGGGAAGGCTGATCTGGTTTTCTTGATGGCACTGGTGGAGGCTGAGCCATCTGGAAATCTTTAAACATTTCTTTTCCCATTTTCTGTCTGGGCCTGTCTGTCTGTGGACTTGATCTGTTGGAATCGCTTGTGGGTGGAACAGTAGCTATAGGAGCAATGGTACCTTGAAACATGGCTGCTTGTAAAGGCAAAACAGTTTGTGTTGGCATGAAGGCAGTTGGTTGGAACTGACCAGCTACAGATGGCCACGGTTGCTGAGTAGGAGGAAAAAGACCGGGTTGGCCCCACGCGATCGGTTGTCCTCCCTGCATCACCTGAGCAACTGGAGGCTGAGCACCCATGGCCAACTGCTGTTGAACAAGTGGTTGCTGTCCCCAGAAGGAGGGCAGAACAGCTCCCATGGCAACATAACCTTCAAAGAACAGAGAGAGCACAGGGGAAAAAAAAACAACAAAGGAGGAAAGATTTTAACACTACAGAGAAGAGGATGCAGAAGAAGCTGCACAGTGAATCAGAAACATGCAGGCTACATCAGTGATCCCAGAGCTTCAGCACACTTGAAAACTGAAAGACAGGGTTGAATTCACATCACTGAACAAATACTTAAAAGCAAAACCACCAACTGGTGGATATTGGTAATACTCCTTCTCCTCACATGAACAAAAAAAGTCCTTCTTTCTCAGGGAGTTCCTCCTGGGTCTGTGCAGCCCTGTGTGCAAGGCCCCTGCCAGCAGCTGACCATCTGGCAGCTCTCTCAAAGCACAGAGAGGATCAGTTTGGCCAACCACTTCCCATAAGCCCCGGAGCTCCAAAAACATTTCCAGAACTTACCCCTTTGCAGTACAACCTGCTGTGCTCTGTGGGCTCTCCTTGATTCCCTGTCCCCCCGCCCCCCATGCTCTGCCTTCCACCTCTGCCTGCCCTGTCCCTCTAAGGGCAAGGACTAAATCGGTTCTAAGTGAGAGGGAAGAACCTTAATACACATTGGATTCCAGCTCAAGGGCCCTTGAATGACAGGGGGACCTTCTCACAAGAGAAAGACTCTACACCATCTCTTCTGACACAGTTACAAACCATGGGCACTTGAAGAGCAAAGTAAGTGTCTCAAATTGTGTCATAAAGTTGGAAACCAGACAAATCCAGATTTAAAAACAAACAAACAAACAAACACATTTTGTTATTACCCAGTTACTTGAGAAGATAAAGTCCTGAGCTGCTTCTGTACTACACACCTAACAGCAACAAACTGCTTCAGGTATTATGCTAGCATAAACCTTCTCTAGTTGGCAAGGAAAACAAAGAGTAAAACTAAAATTATAATTGCTTCCTGTCAGACCTGAACACTCTTGTCAAGCTACCAAGAGTCCATGTGGGAATTATATGATCAAATGTTCTGTTGAATGATTCCAGGCACTCTTCCTCCTCCTTTTCCCTCCTAAGTGGAGCTGACAGTGCTGCTCTTGCTGTGCTCTGAGTATCCCAGGCAGAACTCATCAACCGAAGCTGCAAGTCTGTGCAGCTTTGGAATTTTGAGCACTTTGAGAAACACAGAAAAGTCTAAAGGAAATATCAGGATAAGACTAAGTAGAAAACCTTTGAAATGCAATGGAATCCTCTATCTCTCATCCTTTATTTACTGGAGACTGCCCAGGATATTAATTGCTACTGCAAAGAAACCAAAGCTAAACTACATGCTTTTTTCTCTATTGCTACTGTACCTAGAAGGTCTGTTACCCAGATGGCTGAACTATGGTTGAACTCTCAGTGACTTTTTTGGCTTTTCTTTTAAAAGATGTAGTTAAATTTAACATAATGTGCTCCCTGCTTGTTAAAGGCTTGGTTTGCCTTGCCCTGCAGCCCTGTCCTCAAAATCCTTTTCCCTTCCACTGTACTAAATTAATGCCCTGACTACTGAAATGCAAACTAAAGCCAAGAACTGATCACCAAATTTCAGTCAAGTGCCTGTTCCCCAGATTTCTTACCTGAGGGTACGGCAGCAGTGCTGAAAGGTACAGAACCAAACATGTCTGTACTAGCAGGAAGTGACTGGGACGAAGATGGGATAAAGGCATCACCTGGAGTAGCAGGAGTCTGTAAGAAGACATTAATAAAATGCAATGATGACATATCAGCTGCAGCTCCTGCAGCACATACTTTTGTGTCACATCAGCCATAACTCTTAAAAACACAGGTTTGCAGGGAAAAATGGGAAGAAAAAAGAATGCAAACTTGTGGAAGGAAAGAAGCAAAAGAAACAAAAGTGTTAGAATTTGCTGGAGACAGGAGAACAATAAAGAAAATGAGAAATTTTGTACCAGACGAAAAAAGTAAAAATAAAATTTGCCTGGTATAAATCACATGCAAAATACTGACAGTGTTTCTTTCTCCATAACATACAGACCTGAGATTTTAGGGCTCAGGTGACAACCAGTGGAGGCAGTGAGCAAGGCATGAACATAAGAAACAATAAAGGCAAATGAAGTATCTGGCATTTAACCCACAGGACCAGAGTCATAGGTCCACATTCAAGGAGAAACCAAATCCAGCTGAGCAAGCTAAGGATGAGGAGACAAGACTTGGCACATCTAGTCCTAGAACATGCTCCACAGGTCTGAGACTCCTGACTTCACAACATCTGAATTTTCTTGGTGTATTCATACTCCTCTAGAGCATAATGTAAGATTCATCATCTTTATAGGAAAATGATTGTGTTTTCATTTTATGATGCACAGAAGTATGTTGAGAAAACTCTTTCTGGCCCCAAACACATCTCTCTACTGTTTTGTCTTCCTTCCTTAATGGCAGTTCTGGACTATGTGCTTGGTGGAACCAAAGATACGTGATATCTAAGGCTGGAGCTGGATCTTCCTGCAGTGCAGGGGAGAGACAGAGTGCAGTGAGGCATGCACCTCTGATCAACACCAGGGAAGGAGATCTGCAGCTCAGGTTATATCTCATGTGACACCCAGCCCTGTATCAGGAAAAATAAAACTAGAAGATATTTTTGCACTTCATCATGAAGCAGTGACTCCACATTCAATTTGCTTCACTTCTATTTTCTTGCAACATAAAAATGTTTGAAATCCTCCCTAGTGAAATGGCTGATACCTTGAATTGTAAATGTGCTCAATAAATGTGCTGGAAATAGCATGTGGAAGAAGGCACACCCCAGTTTCCCTGGATACTCACTGGGGGAGAGGTTACATCAGGAGGAGTGGACATGTCCCCAAAAAGCTCTAGTTGGGTAACAGCCTGTAAACAGAAAAACAAACAAACAGAATTACCATTTAGCTTTTGAGGACAAGTAAGTGTGAGTTAACTAGACACAGCCTGTAAAGCTAATTGGTAACAGCTAGCAATATAATCTTCTCAAAAGCCATGAGGGCTTTAAACGTCCAGTCCCATATGGAGGAAACACATGGGTTCAAGCTGTGGCTTTTTGATATTGCTGATGGACCCAAACAGGCAGCAGATGACCCTATAAAATGATTCTATGGGGAATTCTCTACCATAAAAAAATTGAGTAAGTATGAAAAAGCTATCCAGAATGGGACTGGATGGATTACTGCTCTGTCCTTAACATCAGAGAGCATGATTTACAGCCAGCCCTTTTCCCTGGCTCCTTTTCTAAACCCCCATGTCAAGGTCTTAAATGGCAGCAGAGTGTGGAAGGGACAGAAGGATACAGAATGAAAGGGCTTTTCAAGTGCTGCCTGATTTCCCCTTGCTCACGGGACAGGTGTGACCTGGATAAGTGGACTTGAAGGAGGATGTACAACTGGGTTACTCTAAGTTTGCAGCTCTACATTTAATTCATGCGGGAAGTGTTTTCTCAGGGCATCTCTCAGACAGAGCTCAAAATAGGTTGCCCATACAGGCCTCACTCAACTGAACCAGAAGAGAAAATAGGATGTTAAGGCATGGATCCCTTGTAATTCTGCATGAAACCTAAACCCCATCTACCATCCTTATCAGGGTGGCTCTTCTGGGAAGCTCAGTGGGAACTCAATAACTGCCCTTTCTCCACTACCTTTCTGCTTACTACTGGCTTCCTTCTCCCCTGTATCATACTCAATCCCACCCATGCATGTGGGAAGCCACAATTCTTATTATGAATGAGATTTATTGCAAATTTTAACTCTGTTCATTGAACCTCCTCCCCATCTTGGGCACATAAAACTTGCAGACTCCTATCATATATATAGGCTTGAAATCCAATAGAGTCTTGACCTGCAAATGTAGCCAACACATAGTGCTTTAGGCATGAGCCACTGGCTGCTCAGTCTTTACAACCCACCAAACAAACAAGACCACCCTAAGATTCCCCCCTCCCCAACCTTTCATTATAAGTGATCCCTTCAGAAATAAGACTAATATTCAAAATATAAGAATTTCAGATGTTTATACAATTTTGCAATCTAATCTCTATTCCCATTTTTACAAAAGCCTGGATGAGTCTCAGCTTTGGGTCTCATCATGTGCCATGGGGTGAATTATTTCACATTCCAAGCCATCATGTCTTGAATTAAATACATCACATTGCTTTAGTGCTATGACAATATATTTTCTTCTTATGGACTTACACATCTCTCTAAGTATCTGCATGGAAATGGAAGAAAATCCATCTTTCCTTCTGGGTACACCAATTCTAGGGTATATGACTAAAACACTGCTAGAAGTAGCTTTGGGAGGGGGGGGGAGGGGAAAGAAAAGCTGCAGCAAAGCAGCCCCTAAGTCACTGCTGCAGTGTGTGCAAAAACACCAGGCAAGTGGTGTTAAAGTGCCCAGAACAGTCAGAACAATGACAACAGTAGCACTTGGCTGGAAATCACTTCAAGCCTCCTGCAGGCACCACTGACTCAAGGGATGCCAGGTGACACTGAATCACTGAAAGAGCCACTTTTTCTTTTCATCTCTCCAAATGACTTGGTCAGCACCACCCTTAAATCTGCCCTTTGCTGCATCACTGATGGGCTCTCCACTGTTTTCTCCTTCCTGGCTTGCTAAGAAATAGCTGGTGTCCTTTTGAGGAGGCCATAAGCAAAGGCTCCCCCAGTGTTTACCAAAAGAGTTGTTGGACAGTGGAACAGGCTGCCCAGGGAGGTGGTGGAGTCACCATCCCTGGGAGTATTTAAAAGAAATGTAGATATAGTGCTTAGGGACATGATTTAAGCACTGAATGGGTAAATTAGGTTATGATACGGGGATTTAGGTTATGGTTGGACTTGATGATCTTCAAGGTCCCTTCCAACCAGGATGATTCTATGAAGGAGCAGGAGAGCAAGCCAGAGGGGATGTGAAGTTACCTGGACTAGGAGAAAGTGTCTGTGAAGTTAGACATTTTTTGTGGAAAAAAATATCATATGTGTCATATCAATAGTCAAAACTGAGAGTTAGCACACTTTTGAACTCAGACATATGGTGTGTATTTGAAAGGTGGTAACTTGGATCTCGATGCCTCAACACCCCTGTAAAATGGGAATAATGGTGCCTTTCAGAGTGTTTCAAGGTGATGGATCTTTGGCAGCTCTTCACAGATATAATGGTGTTAAAGCTCTGAACTCTGCAGGGGGATTTCTAAACAGGCAGCTGGAGAGAGGGACAGGAAAACCAACCTCACTATTTATTGTAACAAACCCTCATTCACAATAAAATAAAATAAAAGGAATATATTTACAGGGGAATTATTTCTTTCAGAATAGCAACTTGATGTGCAACAGGAGCTACAGAACCATGTCAGAGAAGGTGAACAGAAATTTAGTGGCAACACAACTTCCTCATTGAATTACTAGAGACAACTTCAAACAGCACCACTTGGAGGTGGGATTTTGAAGTCCCAAATGGTTGAGATCTGGATTTTGGATTTAGCTTGTTCCTACAACTCAATTATCAACCTGAATAAATGAATGTATCTTCTCTGACACAGATCTAGTTTTGTTCACTTGCAGCAGATGAGATTCTGGCCACCAAACAGTTCTTTTACTTATGTGGTTTCACAATCACTCCAGAACTGATTTTACCCATTAAGCTTTTTTAAATTATTCACATGTGATATTAGCTAAATTCCAGTGAAGTAAATCCCAAGCTGAACATTTTCAAATTGCACTGTTCCTACAGATGAATTCATCTATATTTCCTTAAAACATTTTTAGGGTCACAACCTTACCTGAGTGACTGAAACAAGATTTTCATCAATGTCCAGCAATAAGTTTCCATTCTGCAGCTGTAAAGCATGATTTATGAAATGAAATGAATGATTTATGAAAATGACATGAATTTCTGAGCATGAAAATGATAACCTCCATAATTATTGACTTCAGCATTGAAATGAAAAGCCTTTCCATCTTGCAGGGAGCACAGCTATGAAGTCAGGCAGTCAAAACAGTGAGTTTGAATGCTGCTGGGATGTGGGGCAAACATACACTTTACTCATGTTAAATCCCATCTTCTTGTGTGCAAGGCAATTTATTTATTAATTCAGCAATAAGCATAGCTACTGAACTCTGATCCTGCTTACATTAATGGAACTTTTCCCTGGCTTGGTGAATAAAGGACCTAATATCCCCCTGGGGAATAAAAAAAAAAATAATCATAGAGTTTTGGACAACAAAAGCTCTAAAAGCAAGAATTTGCAGAAAAACACAGACTAGGAGAACTATAAATCAATGTAAACATATTTAAGATTACTATTTTCTTTTCATAGATTACTTAGCATGAGTCAATTCAAGTTATATATATTTATATCCATAGTTCATGTGTGCGTAAATATATAAGGGTGTATACTGCCCACTCATGCATACATATCTATATCCATCTACATATTTAACAGAAACTATCACTTCAATGTCCTCAGAAAGCTAAATTTCAGATAATGTTTATTGTAGTACTGGAGAATTTCTCTTAAGAAACAAACGTAACAGCAAGTTACCAAAAATCAACTCTTAGATGACTGAGAAGCTTCACACAAGTTACCAGCCAGAAATCCCATTACAAGCTAAAATATTTAAAAATGTTTAAAAATCTCAGAAACAGCCTAGAATGCCTTTTTCCCCCTGCTAATTTCATCACAGACATGAAGAAACAAAAATAAAATAAGACTGACAAAAGGCAAAGGTAAAGGAAGAAAATGCTATAATGGATGACCAGGCAGGGACTCAGACTGACACCTTCCTGGAGCTGACAGCATGTTCCTCTAGCCCCAGGTAAGGAAAGCATGAAAAATACTCTGGCCATTAATTCAAAGAACTCCAAAGACCTTGAAAATATTCTTACATGAAATGAGGGAGCAGTGTTGGACAGTGGCTAATCACTTTCTGTCCTGACAGCCCCCCCATCCCCAGCATGCAGGGATGCAGCTCATCTCTCGGAATCAGATCCTGCCCCCAGCCACACTGACAGCTCTGGGAAACCAGCTGAGAAACAACCATGTCTGGGCACAGAGGGAACATGTGTGCAGCATTCAACGGACCATTAGGAATTCCCACCTGTGCTACCACAGGACCTTGCAGAAAACATTTGCCCAACATGTCACAGCACATCCCCAGGTGCCCAATTATGCAGCACTTGAGCTGCGCCTTCCATTAGCTCGTGTTCTGCGTCACACGCTGCTGAGGAGACACGTCCTAAGGGTGAAATATCCCTGTCCACTAGAGCATGGAACAGCCTGTGACTGTGCCAAGGCTGCAACACAGCTACCGAGGGCAGAATTTGGCCCTTTGAGCCTTCATCCAGTTCAGCTTTTTGATACAAAGCACTTAACCTTGGCAGTTTAAGTCAACAATCCTCTCCCTCCTTCCCCAGAGCACAACCGAAAATAACCAGAAGCCTGGAAAGATGCTCCAGTCCTTGATCTTTCTCTAGGATTGCCATCTGTGGGTTTCTCTGCAGAGTGGTGCAAAAGCTTGTTTTAATCATCCAAACATACATCTCCCTGAATATGAAAGCACCCCTACAGCTCAGCCAACCAGGAACACACCAGGCACTTGTACCCAGCTACACAGAGTGAGGTGGAGGAAAGAGTATTAATCCTTGTACCGCAGTGACACTAAACCTATAATGAAAGCTCTATCTTTCTATACAGGCACGTGAGGCATAGTGTAAATCTCTTTAAACATGAAATATGTAAATCTGGCTTCTTAAAGCACCAGCAAGCTTTTTTAAAACCACTCCAGCCAGTCATGGAATTCCTAATGACACTTTTCACTAAAGAAAAACATTTTTTCCAAGAGCTGGAGAAAAAGAAACAATAAGAG